GCCCCAGCCAGCTTCCTGGAAAGTACACCCCCACAGCAACTTCCCATGACTAAGTCAGTGCCCCAGCCAAACCCTAGAGGGTGGTTCATAGCTAGTTTCATCAGGACCTTACAGAACTTCTCTGCTAGCCAGAGGGCTATATAGTCATGCCCTCTGCAGGAAAGCCCAAGTCTCAGTTTGCAGGAGAGAAGGTCCTCTCTTCTAGATTTGTTCCTTCCTTGGGTGGTCTGCTCCTGTCCTAGGTTGTAGCTGTTCTTCCTATAATCTTGGGAGTTTCTTAACCCCTTACAGTAATGAATCATCTTTTACTAGTTAATACTTTTTTATATTAAACTTTTCTTGTTTGTTACAGTATGATTTCTGTTTCTTGATTAACAACCTTGATTAATTCACTGATACCCAACAGAACTGTGTGTTTATGTTCACCAAAAATTATGTATAAGAGATTTCATAGTTGCACTTTTCATAGTGACCAAAATGTCCATTACCAAGAAATTGTAGTACATTAATACAAGGGAATGTTATCCAGCAATGAGAGTAAATGAACCACAAGTACATGCAGTGACACAGATGAACTGACAAGCAATGTTAGGTGAAAGAAGCAGAAACAGAAGAAAATATTCTGTATGATTCCATTTATGTCAAGTACAAAACCAGGCAAAACTAATCTCCGGTGCTAGAAAGTAAGAAATGTGGTTATGCCTGGAGGGGACTAATGATTCAAAGGAGGCACAGGGATCTTGGGGGTACTGGTAATGCTCTGTTTCCTGGCCAGGGTATTGGTTATATATCATTGTTTATGCAAATTTATTGAGCAGTGCATTTTTGACGTTTATATTTTAGAAATGATTCAAGCTGAAAAGTATTATGTAGCTATTGAAATTATAAAGTGTGAATTATTTGACTCAAATAATGATAGCTCAGTTGATAAAGAATCTGCCTGCAATGCAGGAGACCCCAGTTTGATTCCTGGGTCGGGAAGATCCACTGGAGAAGGGATAAGCTACCCACTCTAGTATCCTTGGGCTTCTCTTGTGACTCAGCTGATAAAGAATCCACCTGCAAAAAAAGAAAGAATCCACCTGCAATGTGGGAGACCTGGGTTTGATCCCTGGGTTGGGGAGATCCCCTGGAGAAGGGAAAGGCTACCCATACGAGTATTCTGGCCTGGAGAATTCCATGGACTGTATAGTCCATGGGATCACAAAGAGTCGGACATAACTGAATGACTTTCACTTCCCAATGAAGTCAAACTCATTCATTCAACAAAAAAATGTATGTACCTATCATATACCAGTCACTGTCTATAGTGCTAAGGATCTAGAGGTGAATTAGTTATTATGGTTCCTGTTCATAAAGGGGCATAGTTTAAAGGAGGAGTCTGACATGAACATGGAAACTGCAGGGTAACATGATTCACGGGTTGGTGCAGGGATGTACGGGGTGCTAGACACATAGAGGAGGACGCTGTGAATGGCACACTGAAAACTACACACAGGTGACATTCCAGCAGCGGACTCCCCCCCGCACACTGTAGAAGCATCTGCTTACTCCTCCGTCCTCCACTGCCATAAAGGGATGAGCAGGAGTTGGCTAAAGTGAAAAGGGTGTTCTGAGCAGGCCAAACAGCATGTGGAGATGTGAGTTTTGAGTCTCCATAAACTCAGAGAACAGAGTGTTTAATGTGGCAGGAATCCAGGTAGTACTGGAAAGAATGGCAGGAGAGGAAATTCCAATGTAAACCAAGGCTTGACGGTGACACATCTGTATGCCTTCCACAGAGTGAATTTCACACAAGGAGCCAAGAAACAATGTATAATTAGTCTTCCAGGATGCCTCTCTACCCACATGTAGCTGATGCTTTTGCTAGTCCCTTCTCAGAATGAATCTGAGAATCATTCTTGGCCAGTGGAACCAATAGAATTTGATGCAAGTGATATCTGAGGCCACTTCAGCTTCTGACTTGATTTCTTGGAATGCTTGTTCTAGGGGGAGCTAGTTGTCTTGTGGGAAGTCTGGCTATTCTGAGTTCACCTTATTGTGAGGAAGCATAGCCTAAGAGAGGCCATGAGGAGAGACCCTTCACCAGCCCAGTCAAGACTTCGGATGACTCCAGCCTCATCTGACATCTGGCCACAACTGCATCCAAAACCCCAGTGGAGAACGGACTAGCCATGTGTCGGACATTGTCAACATACAGAACTGTGAGTGAGAGAAAATCTATTTGTTCTATGCTATCTTTTCTAAATATTTATTTATTTTGGCTGCACTGGGTCTTCGTTGCTTTGCACACAGGCTTTCTGTAGTTGTGGCAAGCGGGGGCTACTCTCCACTTCTGGCATGTGGGCTTATTGTGGCTTCTCGGCTTCTCTCATTGTGGAACATGGGCTCTAGGCTGCTCAGGCTTCAGTAGTTGGGTTGCACAGGCTTAGCTGCTCCATGGCATGTGGGATCTTCCCAGACCAGGGATCGAACCCATGTCTCCTGTATTGGCAGGTGGATTCTTAACCACTGGACCACCAGGGAAGCCCTATTCTATGTTTTCAATTGCCATATTTTGGGGTGGTTTGTTACACAGTAGTAGCAATTAGAAGACTTGTTGGAATAACACTGTGACATAGAGTCTGAGTTTATTTTTGGAAACAGTGTGGAGATAGCATGGAGGGTGGGCTAAAGCTACCAAGAATGTGTTAGGAGGGGAAGTGGGCATGGATGTAAACTGAAAGGAGAGGCTGGAATCTAGAGATACTTGTGAGGCAGAAGTGTTGTGAAAAGAAGACTGTGAATATCTTTCAGGGTTTTGCCCAAAGAGAACAGGTGGTGGATAATGTCCTTAATAGAAATAAGGGCCCTATTTGAGAGGGTAGATAATGAACTGTGCATATGTTGATGTTGAGGGGGTTACAAGGATTCATTGGTGAAAATGTCTGATAAGCAATTGGAAACTTTAAGGCACACAGGAGATTGGGGCTGCAGGTGTATATTCATGTACCATCTCAGTTACAAACAGTGATGGTTGAAGTTATGGAGGCGAGGTCATCAATAGAAAGTATACACAGCAGCAGGAGGAGGGACAGATAGTGGAGGTTTGTTAGGAGAATTCAGTGGACAGAGCAGGAAAAAACCAAATAAAAACTGAAAAAAGATTAAGTCAGAGAAGTAGAAAATTCATGTCATATAGGCAGAAGGACAAGAGAATGTCAAGAGCATTGAGCTCTCATTATCAAAAGTCATTGCAAGATCGAGTAAGGTGAGTCTTGTGGTATTTAGTTTTTACAATTAAGCAGTCACTAGGTATCTTAATGGAGAAGACAATGGCACTCCAGTACTCTTGCCTGGAAAATCCCATGGGCAGAGGAGCCTGGCACGCTGCAGTCCATGGGGTCACGAAGAGTCAGACACAACTGAGTGACTTCACTTTCACTTTTAATTTTCATGCATTGGAGAAGGAAATGGCAGCCCACTCCAGCGTTCTTGCCTGGAGAATCCCAGGGACGGCAGAGCCTGGTGGGCTGCCGTCTATGGGGTCGCATAGAGTCTGCCACGACTGATGCGACTTAGTTGTAACAGCAGCAGCAGCAGGTTTCTTAAATGAGACTGCTTTCAATAGGCTGGCTTTGGTCAGAGTAAAATGAAGAAACAATGAATGTAGATTACTCTTTAAAGATATTTGGTGTTAAAGTGAAGGAGAACGACAAGGTAGTTTATTTAAGCATGATTGTAGGCCATGGGGGAAAAAGGAGCCTTGCTGGCTGCCTGAAAGTGAAAGTCACAGTCATGTCTGACTCTTTGCAATCCATGGCCTATACAGTCCATGGAATTCTCCAGGCCAGAATACTGGAGTGGGTAGCCTTTCCCTTCTCCAGGAGATCTTCCCAACCCAGGGACTGAACCAGCTCTCCTGCATTGCAGGTGGATTCTTTACCAGCTGAGCCACAAGGGGTACTAAATCCCTGAGCCAATGGGAGGGATGGGATAAAAAGGTCTTCAGAGTCAACTATTTAATAGGCATCTGGCCGGGGTCCAGGCGAGGGGGGGGACATCCCATAGACAGAGGGGCCTTGCAGGCTAGTCTGTGGGGTTGCAAAGAGTTGGACACGCCTGAACAACAGCACACACACTTCAAAGTGTGGTGGATGGATCTGTAGCATCACCAGCACCTGGGAACTTGCTGGAAATGCAGAACCTCAGGATCTGCACTTTCACAAGATCCCCAGATGATCATAGCTTTTAATTCTCACAACCACCAGGTAATATGGGCATTGCGGTGTTCTGTGCTTAGTCGCTTCAGTCGTGTTCAATTCTTGGTGACCTGGACAGTAGCCCACCAGGCTCCTCCGTCCATGGGGATTCTCCAGGCAAGAATACTGGAGTGGTTTGTCATGCCTTCTTCCAGAGGATCTTCCCGAACCAGGGATCGAAGCCAGGTCTCCCGTATTGCAGGCGGATTCTTTACCATCTAAGTCACCAGGGAAGCAAGATGGGCATTACTGCTCCCATCTTCACCTATAATAAGAAACCGGTTGTCTTAGCTGAGCTGATTAGTGGCTGGGCCAAGACTGAGTACTAGAACCTGCTGAGTCCAAGTTCAGTTCAGTCGCTCAGTCGTGTCCGACTCTTAGCGACCCCATGGACAGCAGCACGCCAGGCCTCCCTTTCATCACCAACTCCCTGAGTCCAGAGTTCTTCTCAAAAGGTAGAGAAGGAAGTTCAGAAAATTTGCACTTTCTCCCAATTCAGGAGAATTGTCAGATCCTAGAACACTTCTATTTATCAATCACAGGTGTGTTAATCTAGTGCCCTCAGCTGTGAGTTTGCCCTGAAAATGATGGACGAATCCCTTTCGTAGCCTTTGGCTGCCTCAAGGGAAACAACATTGACAGCGTTGGAACTTCACTTCCCAGAAGGCTTCGCGGCTCGCTACGGCGCGAGGCATGACGGGTACCTCGCCTTTCTCTCCGATTGAGCTGCCCGGCAGAAGTGGAGTACGTCGCAGCCTGACGTACGGGCGCGCGCCATTCTGGGCAGTGTAGTCTAGCCTGGACTCGGACGCCCCCTCGTATGAATGGGGCTCCGGTTGACAGCGAACTACAGCTCCTTGACCGGCAGCGTTGGTGGCAGCCGCTGGGAAAAGGGAGACCGTCACGACCCCGGGAGAGCGGCGCTCCAGGACGGTGGTGATGTTCAGTGCCGCGACGAGGCGGTAGCCGGGCTTCCTGGGGTAGTGGTCTAGTTGGGCGCTTCCTCTGCGCTCTCGCTCCGCTTCCCCTGTCCTGGCCATGCGCCCGGCCTTCGCGGTGGGCCTGGTTTTCGCAGGCTGCTGCAGTAACGTGATCTTCCTAGAGCTCCTGGCCCGGTGAGTGACCCCCGCCGGTCGCACAAAAGAAGCGGGAGGAGGGGCGCCCCCGAGCGCCGCAGCCCTGTCCCCCCCATACCTGGGACCTCTCTGAATTGGCTGATCCGTCATCCTATGCACCGTCAGCTCTCCTGCCCAACAGTTTCTCAGCATCCCTCGAGGGGAACCGTCGCGGTGTTTGCTGTCGTCACCCCCCGTTTCATACCCTGGAAGATTGAAGCCTGTAGAGTTTCCTATCCCCCAAGGTCGAAGGGAGCTTGTGGCAGAAGCCAAGATTCCCCCCAGCTCTTCTCGATCCTGCTAATGCCTGTTGTATGACTTGAGCAAAGCTTGGACTTAAAAAGCAGCCTGACTTGGTATACGCTGCAAAGAAAGTTTCAGTTGTATTAAAGTAGGCTGCAAAACATTTGTTTTATTGGCCTTAGAGATGGTTATGATACTTCGCCCAGCATACCTCTTGGGGATGTAGTAGAACGAATTCTTAGACAGAAAGTGGTCTAATTGACCGGGACAAGACTTTCCAGCATTAAGATACTATTAAATAAATTAGGAAGCTTGCAATTTGAGGCGTAAAACTTTATAAATTAAGAATGGTTATGACACTTTCCCAAAGGACACTGCTGCTGCTGCTAAGTCGCTTTAGTCGTGTCCGACTCAGAGACCCCATGGACTGCAGCCTACCAGGCTCCTCCGTCCATGGGATTTTCCAGGCAAGAGTACTGGAGTGGGGTGCCATTGCTTTCTCTGTCCAAAGGACACTAGGGTAGCTTTATTGAGGCGGCACACAAACAGTGTTAAGTAACAATGTGCAAAGGTCATTGAGCAGAAACTGTTACAGAAAAGGCGACAGGTGGATTGGAAAAGCTCAAGACTGAAAATCTCATGAGTTTCAGCCTTTGGCTCTGTCATTCCCCTGGCTGTGTGACGTTTTCAAGTTATTTAGCCTCTCTGTGCTTCCCCTTTTCCACCTATAAAATAATATCTGTGCTGTTTAACACCTTGTTTTAAAATCTGCACAATTATCTTCGTTGCCCATCAGAACAATCTTATGTACAAGATAGATCAACAGTTATATTCTCTGTTTTACTGAAAGTGAAACACGTCCCAAGAAATTAGGTCCTCTTTTATCACTTGTAAGTGGCGGAACCAGAACTGGAACCCAAGAATCTAAACTCCTAGTCCAAGATCTTTTTCAGCCTTCCTGTTATTTTTAAACTGGAGTAGCCCATAGTTTTGGTCACCCAATTCCTCATGTGGTGCCTATGAGACTTGTATTTTATTTTCATGACACTATTGATGGATTAAGTTATTCTGAAGCAACCAGTTTACTTAAGGGAATTCTGTGGGGTTAATTTTTGCAATTACAGAGCTTGAAATTTTATTTTGCAAAAAGTGTTGATAAAGATCTGTCATTTGTCATTCTTGGGAGTAAGTGGTGAGGAATATGAAAATGAAAGGAAAAGATGCATCCAGCTGTCAGCTGGTACACTTCAAAGGAAGGTCACTTTGGAAATTGGTTTAAAAATATAAAAATGTGATGAAATCAGGTCAGCCATGGAAATGAAGGTCAGAGAATAATAGTGTGTTTATGTTGAATATACCATTAAATTAAATCTTGCCAAAGGCTGTATGACATCAGAATATGCTAGCAACTGAGAGCCTTTTTTTTTTTTTAAACCAGTTGTGAGCCCTTAGCTTAATTATTTAGTCTTTCTGAGTCTGTTCTCTGAGCTGTGAAAGGATAGTGATAGCTCTGCCAGCCTCACAGGGTTTTGAAGGACTAAATGCCTGAAGCTCATATTCGGTTTGTTCCCCTTCTAACAACTTTTGTTTCAGTATTCGTATACTCGTTTTATTGGGCTTCCCGGGTGGCTCAGTGGTAAAGTATCCGGCTGCAATTTAGGAGATGAGGGTTCCATCCCTTGGTCAGGAAGATGCACTGGAGGAGTGCATGGCAACCTACTCCAGTATTCTTGCCTGGAGAATCCCATGGACAGAGGAGCCTGGTGGGCTACAGTCCATGGGGTTGCAGAGTTGGACATGACTTAGTGATAAACAACAACTCTGTTTTATTAACTATTCCTGAAAAGTTGTGGGTAAATATAACTGTACAGAATGTTTTTATGCATTATTCATTTGAATGTTTGCATACAATGGTAAGGGGTACATTTGCTAATTTAATGAGTGGGGCCCCAGACTGAATAGCAGTTTTTTCCTAATTTGCTTGGGCAACTCCAACTTAATCATGTTTCAGATTGAGAAAATAAGAACTGGTTGGACTAGATAGGCTTCAAGGTTCTTTGTAGATTTGGCTTCCCATAATTCCTAACTCTTATCTTGGGACATCATAGTGGAAAGCTAATAAAATTTTGTAGAGCAGGCACTGTGCTTCTTCTATGGTTTTCTTGGAATCATTAGGTATGGAACACCAATTATGAATGGAAATACTAAAGTGACTTGTAAAGTGAGCATTTTTAACCGTTCTCTTCCAAATTGGAAAACAAATTTAGGTTTTTCTTTCTTATTTCATACCTATGATTGGGACCTATAATAAAATACAAAGCACCCATGCAGTGTATAGGGCAAGCATGAAGTAGGGAATGAGTGCCTTGACCGTCCTTCTGAGAGAGTTCACCTTCTACTTTGGAATCAAGATACACATCAGTTCCCTATCTAGGTGAAGTGTCTTAGATCAGGAAAACAATCTGAAACATTTTCTTTTTTGTCATTTTATTTTTTAATCAAGTGCCTAATGTTAAATCCAATAAGGACATTTTCTAAAAGTAAAACTTTGGATTCTTGCCAAAGAGAATTCAAACAGAAATGATTTGCAGTTAGTGATTATAATTCCTGAGGAATAAAGTTCAAGAAAATAAGTGATTTAGGGGAAAAAGATCTAGGTTTGTACTCTGATGTTTTCAAATGAATTATTCAAGTTAATTGTTCCATCGGTAGCTATACAGCATTGTGTTCTTGAAAAGTTCTGTAAATTGATTTCTTAAAAATTGAATTATGTGGGCACATTAGGGAGATATAAAAATCCTATGGAAATAGAGACAAAGATTAGATTGTCAAGGGGGGGGAATGGGGACTGGTCCCTAATGGATATGGGATTTCTTTTGGAATGTCCTAAAATTAAATAATGGATATGACTGCACTACTCTAAATATACTAAAAACCACTGAATAAAAAAAGAAGTGTGGGGGGGAACCTTCTTGGCAGTGCAGTGGCTAAGACTCAGCACTTCCAGTGCAGGGGCATGAGTCGATCCCTGGTGGGGGAAGTAAGATCCCACATGCCATGTGGCAAAAATAATAATAATAATAATAATAACAATGATAATAATAAATAGAATAATAATAAAATAAAACACCATTTATTTCCCGGGTAGCCCTGAGAGACTTACCTAACTCAGTGTCATATGGCCCTCAGTCTCTTTAGCAATGAACTGGGCATAATAATACCTACTGTGGAGACAGGTATTATTATAAAATAACACCCATGAAGCCATCATAATCAAGGTAATAAACATATCCATCACCTCTAAAATTTCCTTGTGTTCTTTTTTATGATAAGAACACTGAACATAAGATGTACCCTCTTAACAAATTCCAAGGTGTACAATACGGAATTGTTAACCATATGTACTACAATGCACAGGTATGTTTTGAACTTACTCACTTTGTATAACTGAAAACTTAATACCCGTTAAACAACAGGTCCCCATTTTCCCTTCCCCCTTGACCTTGGCAGTCTCCATTCTGTTGTCTGCTTCTGTAAGTTTGATTTTAGATGCTTCATGTAAGAGGAGTCATGCAGTATTTGCCCTTTTGTGACTGACTGACTTCATTTAGCATGTCTTCCACGTTGTTGCAAATGATATCATTTCCTTCTTTTTTAAGGTTGAATAATATTGTATGTTTATACATTTTCTGTATCTATTCACCTGTCCATGGACATTTCAGTTGTTTCTGTATCATCATTAAGTATTGCAAATAGTGCTGCAGTGAATATGGGGGTACAGCTATGCTTTCAAGATCTTGATTTCAATCATTTACTTTTAACATTTAAAAAAATTGAAATATAGTTTATTTCTAATGTGCCGATCTCTGCTGTTCAGCAAAGTGACTCAGTTATACACATACATACATTTTTGTGTGTGTGGGGGGGGGCGCGCTTCCCTTGTAGCTCAGTAGGTTAAGAATCTTAACCTACCTGCAATGCAGGAGACCTGGGTTTGATTCCTGGGTTGGAAAGATCCCCTGGAGAAGGAAATAGCTACCCACTCCAATATTCTTGCCTGGAGAATCCCATTGAAAGAGGAGCCTGGCAGGCTGTGGTCCATGGGGTTGCAAGAGTCGGACATCACTTAGTGACTAAACCACCAACCACTACCACATACATGTTTTTAAATATTCTTTTTCATTATGGTATATCCCAGGAGACTGGATATAGTTCCCTGTGCTATACAGTAGGACCTTGTTATTTATCCATTCTGTGTATAATAGTTTGCATCTGCTAACCCCAAACTCCTCACTCAGTCCATCCCTCTTCTCCCCTCCCCCTTAGCAATCACAAATCTGATCTCTATGTCTGTGATTCTATTTCTGTTTTATAGATGGGTTCATTTTTGCCATTTTCAGATTCCACATATAAATGATGTCATATGGTCTTTCTCTTTCTGACTTCACTTAGCATGATATTCTCTAGTTGCATCCACGTTGCTGCAAATGCCATTATTTTGTTTTTTTTTTATGGCCGAATAATATTCCATTGTATATAGGTACTATATCTTCTTTACCCATTCATCTGTTGATGGACATTTAAGTTGTATCCCTGTCTTAGCTATTGTGAATAGTGCTGCTTTGAACATTGGCGTATGTGTATCTTTTTGAATTAGAGTTATCTCTGGATGTATGCACAGGAGTGGGTTTGCTGGAACATAAGATAAGTCTGTTGAATTGTTAACCATATGTACTACAATGCACAGGTATGTTTTG